AGAGCGAGCACTGTACGTCAAGGGGTGAAAGTTTCACCGACTTCACCACACAATCCTTCTGATCCAGATCGCGAACGTACATCTTGAGTGCCCTGGTTGCCGTCTGTACCATTCTTTCTGCGGCCCCGTTGGCTTGCGGCCGATATGCCATCGTCGCTCGCTGCCGTTGTCCCAGGATCTTATTGAACGACCGGAAGAAGTCGGAAATGAAACCGGGTTCTCGATCATACCGGATCATCTCGCTGGCACCAAATTGCCGAAATACACACTTTTCGTACGATTCCGCGACCGTCTGGGCCGACCGGGACGAGCTAGCTTTCGCGATCACGTATCCTGTGAACGGATCGACCCAGATCAATAACTCATTATTCCCCTTGCGGGATCTGGGCAGCGACGGTATGTGATCCATCGCAATGATCTGGAACGGGTATGTCGCCTGCAAGGTCCCTGGTGATTCGCCCCGAATGGCAGGTTTTCCTTTTCCCGTTTCACAGTCCACGCATTCTCCCACATATCGCTGAACGCTCCGATATAATCCTCTCCAGTGGAAGTGATCCCTGATCCGCTGGTAGGTACGGCCCACTCCCTGATGCCTACCCTTCAACGTGGTGTGATAGTGGTGTAAGACGTCCGATTGCAACATTTCGGGCACCACTAGTCTCAGCAACCGATCGCGATCGTCCCCCGATCTCGGCTTGGGTGGGTAGTAGAAGAGTAGATCCTGTTCGTCCACCTCGTTGTCGGCCGCGATCTTGCCGTACGATCTTGCTTCCTCTTGCGTGAGGTCGGCGATCGAGCCACTCAGGTACTTCTTCATGCCTGCGATCCAGACTTCCTCCTTCTGAGCCTGCCTGATCTGATCGACCCGAATCTTTTGGATCAGGTCTTCTTGCATGACTCCCGCGGGTGTCCGTACTCGAGAAGCTCGGGTGGTGACCGCCGCCCCTCGCACCACTGGGGTCTCGATCTTGGGAATGAGGATCTCGCCCAACCGTTTCAGGGTGACCAGGTCTTGGACCTCGATCCCGCCTTGGCGTTGCAAAGCGGCGCTCGCTAGACTATCGGTGCTCCCATTCCAGTCTCTCTTCACATGCACGAGCTCATGATCGCTCCAGTTCCTCGGGCGATCGAGGGCCTTCTGCTTCATGGCTCCAGCTCGGGTGCTTTGCAATCGATCTTGCCCCGTACTTGCCGGATCACTAAGTTGGAATCTCCGCACATCACTAGGCGCTTGCGATCTAGGTCCCCTAGCATGTCGAGTCCCAACAGCAGGCCGTTGTATTCTGCTTCGTTCACGGTGAGACTCTCGAGATAGCCCGATCTAGCTTTGACCACCCTCCATCCGGGCAGACTCCACACGATCGCGCTGAACGTGCCTCCGCCCCGCTTCACTCGCGCTGATCCATCAAACCTGATCACACATAATTCCTCTTCGCGATCTACGGTAGGTATCGGCGTTTGGATCCGGCGTTTAGGTTCCTTCCGGGGGACGATAGCGGCTAAGTCGTCATCCATATTCGATCTCGGCGTGATGCTGGCAGCGATCGCCCCCAGTATCTCGTCTTCTCCTTTCGTACTTTTCGTGATCTCGAGAGTCCAACGGGGCCAGGAGGGCCGGCCATTGCCCTAGGCGGCCCTGTAATCCTGCCGACCTGAACAGTCAGGCCAACGTGGAATGCCTCGTTAGGACCCGGACCTCGCCTCCCACCAATAAATTGTAGTAGAGATCCAGAATCCTCAGTAGTGCCAGTACTTCCTTTTCGATCACATTGTAATTCAACTCGTTCATCTTTAACGTGCGGCTGGCGAACGCAACAGGATGGTAGATCCCGTTGTGTTCTTGCATCAACGAAGCGGAAATCGCCCAATCACGGGCATATACAATCACCACCGGGATTTCTCGTCTCGTCGAAGTGGCGGAGAATGGACGTCGTCGCGATCTTGGTCTTCAGGTGATGAAATCCTTATGAGCTCTGATCCACCTCCCATCTAATGGCTGGAGTTCCGGTGAGTCGTTATCCCGTGCAATCGAGTCGTTCTCGTCCATGATCTTCCTCAGATCCGACCGTTTCTCAAATTATGGAAATTCCACCTCACGTAGCTCATATAGCACCGAGGCGTATATAGCGTAGTCCTAAAAAATCGGTTGTAGGAATTCAGACTCCCCAGGAACTATTGCATCGATCGAAGCGATCCGGGGAGTGGCAGATCGGTCAGAGATTTCAGATCTTTCAGGTTCACCTCTAGACCTTCGATCGACACTCGGTGCCCCAGGTATCCTACCTTATCCATGCTCCAGAAGCTCTTTTTCTCACTGATCGATAAATTCCACTTAGCACAAGCCTCCAACAGATCTTCCACCTTTTGGCACATTTGATCCCACGATTCCGCTGCGATCATGATCTCGTCAATGTATGATCTTCGTCCCAACACTGACTCGCGATCAGGATCGTCCGCGATCCCTGTCTGAAAAACGTCCGTTGTATTCCCTGCGTCACCTGATCGCGGGATTTTCAGAAATCCATACAGCGCGTTGTCTACGAGGCGTTGATAAATCTGCGGGTCATTCTTTAGGCCAAAAGGCATGCGACTCCATTCGAATAGTCCAAACGGGGTGATAAATGCTGAGATCTCGCGAGCCCGATCCGTCATGGGCACGACCCAGAAGCCACTGGCCATATCCAGTGAGCAATACCATAACGGTTTATCGAGGTCCTCTAGCAGATCGCTGATCAGAGGCATTGGATATACCATCAGCCTCGTGAGGCTGTTTACCAGCTTGTAGTCGATGAACCTAATATCCACGCCGTTACTCTTGCGGACAATCACGATCGGTGAGGCCCATGGCGATGTCGAGGGTCGGATGGTCTCGGCTGCTAGGAGGCCCTTGATCATGCCTGCGATTTTTTTCCCGAAACCGCGTGGGTACTTTCCGGGATCGCAACGCGATCGGTTTCGCGTTCCCGGCATCAACGTCACACACGACGCTCCTACCCGCCGGGGGTAAGGCGTTCCCTTTGCCGATCAGGAGGTGTTGCTTCTTCCAAATGATCTGCCGGAGTTTCTCGATCTCCTCGGGAGTGGCCGATCCGGAGTCTCCCACCTGCAGATCCTCGATGCTGACCTTCGCGGTCGTCGAGATTGGTATTTCGGGGAGGACAGCGAGATTCCCCTCTAGATCTTCAGCTGAGAGATCACCACTCTTGTGGTAGTATATCTCATCATCGTCCTCGGCATCCTGTGGGGGTCGCTGCTGCTCCATCCGCTGAAGGATCGCGTAGTTCGACGCCCTCAGTCGGGTGGATCCAGGATTTTGCGTCGAAGTCTTCGCCGGATTCGGGTTTGATCTGAGTTTGACAGTTCGGATTCTCCGTTTTCGGCGTGATATCCTTTGTGTCAGTCCGATCGGTAGCCTGGTCCGGCATGTTCTCACTTATCCCGCCCCCAGCATCGCCGCTCCAGTATCGATCGGCGTTGGGGTTTGTAGGTGGTGTAGATGGATGGCCCGTTCCGGATTGAGAAACGTTGCCTCGATCTGGGTTGCGCTGGCAGTTTTTGCCCTAGGATCTCTATGGTCGATATCAACGTTCGATCTCTGTCGACGTCAGCTGTTCCTGCCCGGCGAAGTATCAATCGCGGTGTGGGGTATGTCGGTCGTTGTACTGCCGGCTCTGCAGGGTCCTCCGTAAGTGCTGTAGGCTCGGATCGGATATCCACCGTCGATTCCAAGGCCAGGTTCTGCCATTCCCTGTAACGGCGAGACCCGACGGACACGAACCCTGGGGATCGAGGTACTTTGTCCTGATCCAGTATCATGCCAACGTCCAGACGGTGGTCCAGCCGTAGGATCTCTTCTCTAATATTCGAGATCACCAGGTAGCGGATCCGACCGGGGCCTTCCGTCACTGTTCGTACCCATCGTTCACCTCTGATCACCTACAGTTTCTCAGCGGTTGACAATTTTATCCTCGCCGCTGTTTCTTCCGACCGACCAACCGGGAT